CATGTTTAAACACTCTGTTTCCATTGAAGATGGATTTAAGTGGACTGGCTGCTATGGAAAATGAGGCCGGGGTTGGGGGGGTTGCTGCACGCACGCAGCCTGCTCTCCTCTGGCTTTTGTTAGCTAAGCTCAGGGCTTCGGATGAGAACATTGCATTCCGGTCTGTAGCCCAAGTGTGCACAATTGTCTCGTATCTATTTGGTCTCTAAGTGGCTTCAGTGTTTACCATCAGACCTTTTACCATGGCTTTGCCAAGTCTGTGCTCTCTTTTGACTTCACCCTTCATTGTTTGGATTTTGTTCTGGGAGCTTTTATCCAGAGAAAGGCCCAAGGCTGCTAGATTCCCTGAGTTTCTTCCCGTTAGAATTGGGACCCTGTTGTTTTTTAAGTCTGGACTTAGTGTCTGGTGCTACCGTCTGCCACTTTCTGAGTCATTCTTTTGGGGTGATGAGATGAGTCCCAGGGATAGAGATCAGTTACTTTTCAGACAGCTGGCTGTCTGGGGCCCTGCACCCCACTGATCCCTCCCACTCCCGTGGGGAATTTTCTTATTTATAAGAGTCAGGGACAGGATTTAAACATAAATGGAAAGATACCATTTTTTCCTTTTTTTTTTTTGATACCATTTTTTCCTAATTATAAAATTGAAAACATGCTTATCATTTAAAAAAAAAAATTAAGTAAAACAAAGGAGAAAAGAAAGTTCTCATCATGCAACTCCCAGAGAGAACACCCTGTTAATAGTTTGGTGACTCTTCTTCCCCAGACTTTTCATGTGTGGATATGCATACAGGCATGGAAAGTAATTTTTTGAATCGGATTTAGTCTACATTGTACATATGGACATTTTTCAACAGGCTTATTTTGGCTTAAATGTGTATCCTGCTACTTTTCTGAGTAGGTACCACAAGACCCACCTCGTTTTCTGTGAGGGCCGCTTGAGGCTCTGTCGATGCCTGGTCAGTGAGCATTTAATCCACCACTTCTTGTTGCACCTTTGGAACGTTCTCAGTTATCAAGAATCGACATATATCAAGACCGAAGGATAAATTTTCAGAGGGACTTGGTCAAAGGGTGTATACACTGTTCATTTCTAGTCAGTCATTTATCATCACTGCCTCCCAAATGCATCTCCAGAGGCACCCCTGCCCCACACCCACCCCACTCCCCCTCTACCTTGCCCCTCACTGCTACAGCTGTACCCGTGTGCCTTGTCTCCACCCTGCCCTCCTCTCAGGATCCAGGAGCCATAGTGCCCTTTAAAACCAGAAGTCACATAATATTGTGCCTTTGCTTGGCACCCTTCAGTGGCCTCTTGTGGCACATAAACCAAAATCCAGACTGCCTTGGCTTATTAAGCCTTCCTGTGACCCCTCCCTGTTCCCTGCCCTCCCTCCTCTGGTGCACACCACCCTCTAGCCATGCTTACCTCCTGGCCTTTGCCTCTGCTGTTCCTCCTGCCTGACATGCTTGTGCCCCAGACACTTCTTGGGTGGTTTTCTCAGCAGCCAGCCTTCCCTGACCAGCTTTCAGCAGGGGCTCCTTAGCCCACTTACCTTCTGTGCAACAGCCAGGCTGGCTCTTTCCTTCATAGTCCTGGCTAGGGTAGAAATGCCCCTATTTCTTTCTCTTTATGTCCTGTTTGTCTGAGGCTTCGCCACCTTACTGCCCACTGTTATGCCAGCCCTTAGCACACCTTGCCTGCATGCCTGAATAAATGAGCAAGGGTAGCAGCTATGTCACCGCTGTCTATCCTCCCCGCCCCTCCCCCCATCGCCCTGCACTGGTTGGACCATGACAGAATGCAAAGGACTTTGTTTTACACTTGGACAACTTAGAAGGAGCAGGGAGCAGTGGCCAAGGGCATTTGTCACTGCCCTGCCACTTCATCACTGTGACAAGTCAGAACAGCTTAAAAGTTATAGTCCCTCCATCTTAGGGGGGGAGACCCCAAAACTCCAGTCACTGAAACTGTGGGTTGCAATGTGGTGAAGGGGCCAGAGAAGCTGGAGGGAGCCTGCTCAGGTGACCATGGATTCAAGCATCCCAGTGCCCCATCCAGAACCTTCCTGGAACTGGCTGTGGTAGGTGGCTCCACTCAGCCGTAGACATCAACAGAAATGATCGTAGGCCCTGGGACTGGCTGGGATTTCCTGGGCGGTGACCAGTCTCCCAGCAAGGAATCTGCCGGCTAGCTGGCACCCCTTGTATCATTTTGATCCAAAGACAGAAGCCAGTTGCCAGTCCTCTTTGGCTGTCCAGTAGTTCATGTTATCACAGGGTTTCGCTCTATCTTGTCGGGTTATCGTGAGCATCAAATGAGAGAAGGAGTTGAAAGTGCTTTTTTGTAAAGCATAGAGCGGCATTCCATTGAGTCAGTCATTGTCACTGATATTTGGCAGTGGCTGGGAGAGAGCTGGAAAAGACACTAACTATACTAGTGTCCCATTGCTGCTGTGACAACCTCACACAAATTTAGTGGCTTCTTTTATAATTCTGGAGGTCAGAAATCCAAGTTCAGTTCTACTGGTCTAAAATCAAGATGACAGCAGCCCTGTATTCCTTTGGGAGGCTCCAGAGGAAGAGCCGTTTCCTTGTCTTTTCCAGCTTCTAGAAGCTACTGTCATTCCTTGGCTTATGGCTCTTTCCTCCTCCAAAGCCAGCAGTGTGGCATCTTTTTTCCTCCCTGACCTCTGCTTCCATTTTTATATCTTCTCTCTCTGACTCCTGTCTTCCTGCCTCCCTCTTACCAGGACCCTGGTGATTACATTGGGCCCTTTTGGATAATCCAGCCTAATCTCTCCTATCTCAGGATCCTTATTCACATCTGCAAATACCCTTTGCCCATAAGGTAACATTCATAGGTCCCAGGGTTTAGAACGTGGACATCTTTGGGGGCCATTTATTCCGCCCATAGCAGTTTGCCCTGGAGCTCTCAAAGGTCTTGGTCTACCCCACATACAAAATACATCCATTCCATCCCAAGCTTCCCCATCTCAACCCAAAATATCCTCTATATCTCACCTGCTCAAAACTTCCAAGTGTCGTCATCTGCGTCATCTGAATGAAGTAGGGGTAGGGATCCAGGTAGAATCCTTTTGAGGACCAAAGTGTCTCCATCTGTGGGCCCTTGAAACTAACAAGTTACCTGCTCCCAAGGACAATGGCAGGTCAGGCCCAGGGTAATGGCCACAGACATCCCCATTACAACAGGGACAAAATGAAAGGAGAAGGGAGTCACCAAACCCAAGCAATTTTGAAATCCAACTGGGCAAAATTCATTGGGTGGGTTTCAAGTCCTTGGAAAAATTCTCAGTGACTCCGGGCTCCAGCCTCTGGGCCCACGGCCCCATCCTTGGAGCCATCGTTCTTCTCTCATGTAGGGTAGCCTGTGTCTGCAGCTAAGTATCAACCTGCTTCCTGACTATGGGATTTGGGGAGTATGATAGCCTTCTTTTATTTTGTCCTTCCTCTCTCGGTATAAGCCGGTAGTGTTTCCACTGGTATGACATTCTCAAAACCCATGTGGTCTGCTATGTACGTCTCTAGAATCCCCTCCATTAGACAAAGAGGTTCCTTCATGGATCTTCATGGGTAATCTTATCTCTATGCCTGGCTTCTTCTGGGATGGCTAAGAAGATCCATGATCCCAGGTCTAGTGTCTTCAGAGAACCCTCCGTGTGATTGAATCCTCTAAACTTCGATCCTTCTCAAGGACTAGCAAAAAGTTGTCCAGCCATACCTTGGGTTTCTCTCCAGAGCATGATTTTCTAACCACGAATCTCTGCATGTTAGCATCTTTTGCAACTGGCTAGGCTGAGAGTTTCCCAAATCTTCAAATCTCAGTTCCCAGTTCCACTTATGACAGAACTGTAGGCACAGCACAGCACAGCTAAGATCCTGCCACTGCATCATAAGATTCCTTGTTTCCTGAGCCCCTACAAGCCAGCACCTTTGGTGTCCATATTTCTACCATCGGGTCTTTTTTTAGGGCGACTTCTCTAGAATGATTAAACTATTCCAGTGACTCTTCCCTCTTCATGAGCTGTCACTGACTTACAGGGTCCAGGGGTTAGGACTTGAACACCATAGCAACTGTTAAGTTTACTGGTCAACCACCAGTATCAAGCAAGCGGTATTGATTGCTTCTCATTTGCTCAGAGCTCTGTTAGACAACACGAGCTGGGGGTGGGTGGGTGGTATAGCCAAACATTAGTTTGCCCAGATAGCCCAGTTGACGTTTTTTTTGTCCCAGAGTAAGTAGACCAGTACCCTTTTTCCCTTTCAAAAGTATCCTGGCAAAAAAAAAAAAAAAAGTATCCTGGCTTCGGTGATGAATATTCTGGTCACTCTAAGTGTAGATCATAATGCTCACCCTTCAGATTATAAATCGATCTCATGGAGATGAAACACAAATTGAAAAAAATTATCCAGCAGCTATGGATAAGTGCTAAATCTTATGATATCTTAGGTTCTTCTAAACATCCTTCAATATATAGGACAGCACTCCCTACAACTGTCTGGAAGACACTGTACCATCTGGAATTTCAAGGTCATTTGGAAGCCTTTGGGGTTTCATATTCAGAGTGTGGTCCCTGGATCAGCAGCATTAACATCAGCCTATAGAAGTGCACATCATTAGGCCTTGTCCAGGACCCACTGGATCAGAAACTCTGGGGGGGGTGGAACCCCACAATCTGTTTAAACAGGCCCCAAACAAGAACATCTGTAACACAGAGACACACACACGCACACTCTTAGTGGTATCCCAGGAATGTGACCACAGCAAATACTATAAATACTCCTCTGCTAGGGAGTTACTCGTTTGTCCCTATCTTTGTTTTCTCGTCTTCAAAGCGATGACAACACACGCATCAAGATGATTTGGGTAAATGTTCATTTGCTGGGAATAGTTCTTTGGTCCTAATGATCTATTTGCAGGTGAGTTTTTCTCAAAGTAGCATATTTCATTTTTGGCCTCTCTTCCTGACTTTTGGTAGGAGCTAAGAAAAAGCCTGGAACTTAGTGTAAATCTACAGAGGAAACAGAAAGATGGTTCCAGTGATGAGTATGACTCCATTGAAGAAGAGGTGCTGTCTGAACCCGAGCCCGAGGAACAGGTGCTGATGGGCCAACCCAAAGATGACCCCGCTCTTTCCAGTGGGGACTCCATGCAGAAGGATGTTGCTGAGGACCAAGAGACAGAAGGGCACCCTCCCCAGGGCCCAGACACCCTCGTGGTGCTGGAATTTAACCCAGCTTCCAAGAGTGAGTTCTGTCTTTGTGGGCATGCCATTGCCCTTGGTGTGTCCGGGTCTACTGGGAGGACTTGAATTTCTAGCAGTACTTGGAATTTAGCTTTGGGGAGACTGTCCCCCAGGTCAGGGAGGTATATCAGCCAAGTCTCTGCTGACTCCAAGAAGCAAAGGCTCCCAATGGCCTACAGATGACCCTGAAATTCCAGACGGCCGATGTCTGGCAGATAGTTTTGGGGGGCTGTCCTGTGCACTGTAGGATGTGTTGCAGGATCTACATGCCAAAGGCTAATGATACATTCTGGCTTAAGCAAAAGGAAGTATATTGGCTTGGATCATTGAGATGTCCAGGGCTGTCAAGGACTTTCCCTCCCCTTCTTCCCTCCTCCCTTCTCCCTTCCTTTTCCCTCTCTTCCTCCCTCCCTCTCATCTCTGCCTTTTTTTTTTTTTTTAAGATTTATTTATTTATTCATAAGAGAGACACAGAGATAAGCAGAGACACAGGCAGAGGGAGAAGCAGGCTCCCTATGGGGAGCCTGATATGGAATGTGATTCCAGGACCCCGGGATCACAACCTGAGCTGAAGGCAGACCCTCAACCACTGAGCCACCGAGGTGCCCTTCATCTCTGCCTTTCTTTGTCTTAGTACCATTCACAGGTGGGCTCTCCACATTGCAGACACAGAATTGAGATATTGGCTTGATGCCTCCATCAGAAAGTGAATTTTTCTCCCCAAAAGCTCCAGCAAAGGTCCCAGGCCTGGCTCTTAAGCCCACATTGGGTCACATTTCTGAACTAGTCACTGTGGCTCCGGTTGGCCTGGTCTAGCCAGTAAGGCTATGGCTGTGGTTATTGCTACCCAAACCCCATGGACTGTTTGTTAGTAGTTCCAAAGGAAAATCGAGGTGAACCTGAAGAAGGAGGAAAGCATGCAGGGCAGGCAGAAATAGCAGCCATCTGCTAGAGGAGGTTTTCCAGAAAAGACCCTGGAAAGTAGAGTCAAGAAAGCAATTTGAGGAGGAGCGGGGAGGGGCCCACCTGCCACAGTTCCTGGGGCCAATGCCGAGCTGGCTCGGTCTCTGCCTGCCCTTCCCTCTCCATCCTGGGCACATCCTTCTCACAGTTGTGTGTGCCAGACTTTCTGAACCAAATACTAAGGCCACCTGGCTGGGAAACAGGGGTGCCTCTAAGGGAAGAGAAATGAGGGGATGTACGCAATTAGGCAGAGTATATTAGTGTGTTCAGGCTACACGGACCAGGGGAGAGCTCCAACAGCAACAGGAAGGCATTTTCTTATCATTCTGGAGACTGGAAGACCAAGGTCAGGGTGTAAGCCAGTTGTTTTCTTCTTAGGCCTCACTCTGGCTTGTCGGTGGACGTCCTCCCCCTGTGTCCGCACGAGGTCTTCCCTCTGTGTGTGTGTGTCCTAATCTCCTCCCACAAGGACACCAGGCAAACTGGATTAATGCCCACCCTCATTGACTCATTTTACCACAATGACCAAATAGTCTCCAGATTCGGTCAGATTCTGAGGTCCTGGGGATTAGGACTTAAACATATGAATTGGGGATGGATATAATGACTGGCAGCCCTGGAAATGCCACACACAGGGGTTGATGCCTCCAGACCTCCAGAGAGAACATTTGTCCCTCAGATATGCTCTCACTGTGTTCTCTCACCTCCAAACCTTTGCTTGGGCTGTTCCCTCTGTCCTGATGACCACATCTCCTCTCCTTTCCACTCTGAACCCTGAAACCTGGCTCCCTGCTTTCCCCTCAAGATTCAATTCAGGGGCTGCTTCCTCCAAGAAGCCTCCCTTGCCCTCTCAGCATGGCTCAGGTAGGTTTGCCTCCTCTGCCCCCAGGGTGTCATCATGGCACTGGTCTCACAATGGACTCCTCTTGTCTTTCTCCCCCTCTGGCCTGTGAGCCTCTGCCAGGGCCCCCACCAGCGCTTCCCCGCCCCCAGCCCATTGCACCTCCAGGGGCAACACTCACCTGGCACATTTAAACCACTCCAGAAATCGTTTTCCGATACATGAAGGCTTTACACCTACCTGCTAAAGCGTTCCGTGCCCATGCTTCTGTGTGAAACCTGCTGCGGTTGCACAGGGAACTGTTTTTCTTCAGGGAGTGGGGAGACTGGGGGAGGGCAGTAAGGAGACTGAGTGAGCCTCCTACTGGAAACAGGGCATGACAGTCACTTCTGGTACCAAGGACCGGGCCACAGAGAGAACCACTGGACTCCCCAGCACAGTTTGAGAGTGAGATTGGAACATACAACAAAAAGAAAGAACTTCACTTTCTTAACAGTTTGCCTATTTTTTGGAGATTTTATTCATTTATTTATTCATTCATTCATTCATTCATTTATTAGAGAGAGTGCATGCACAAGTGGGGGTGGATGAGGGGCAGAGGGAGGAGCCTAATGTGGGGCTTGATCCCAGGACCCCAAGATCATGACCTGAGCTGAAGGTAGACACTTAACTGACTGAGCCACCCAGGCATCTGGACATTTTGCATTTTTTGACAATGAGATTGCTTGGCGAGTTCCTGCACTAACCGCTGTGATGTCTGCCCCGGGCAGGGGCTGCCTAATCTGGAGCCTTAGAGGGTCAGAGGCATGCCTCCTACTGCCACTCATCTGTAGCCTCTGACCACAGACCCACTGAGAGGAGCAGGCAAAAGTTGAGCAGCCTGTTGCCAGGTCTCCCCAGGCCCCAGTGGGGGATTGGATGCTGAACTAATCCTGAACAGTTACTCAAGCACAGTCAATAGTAGCCTGAAAAGTTGTGCTTGGTTCTAGGCTGTCCATACATTCGTGCCCCAGGCCTAGGCATATACTGGAGCAAGAGAGGTCCAGTCCCTTCTCCTATGGCACTTAAACCTAGCAGGGAAAACAAACACCTAAAACATAAATAATAAACGATTACCAACGTCGACTGAATTCTTACTAACATGCGCCAAGCGCTATTCCAGGGGCTTACCATGTATAGTCCTTACCACAACACCAAGACCAGTCCTGTCAACACCTTGCTTTACAGATGGGGACGCTGGCAAACAGAGAGGTCAGATGACTTGCCCAAGGTCACACAGGGGCAGAGTGGGATTGAATTTGTCAGGAGTCTGAACCCAGAGCCCAAGCCCTTAATCACTAGGCTGAATAAATAAACCAGATCAAATTAGAAAACAATAGTTGGGCTTTGAGGAGCTGATAAGTAATGCCACCCACTCTGTCTTCCTTCCTAATCAAAACAAATGAGAGATGGGCTTGGGAATCTGATAGAAGGAGAACAAATGTTCACCTTTGCAACTGAGAAGAGCCAGATTGCTGGCTACTCGGTGCTGCCCCTCTGAAGTAGGCAGACCCCTGACCCCAGATGCTGACAGAGCTGGGCCACTGATGGCATTAGTGTGGTGGCAGATGGCTGTGTGTCTTGAGGGCAACCCTGCTGGAGGAGGGAGGGGAGTGGCTGGATTGAGCTTTGATGTCTTCCTGCCACCACCACCCCAGCCCCCACCCCATCCCATCCCATGGGACTTCCTTCTGAGTGAGGGCCAGGGTATGAGTGGCACAGAAAAAGGCAGAGGTTATTTTCCTAATAACTGGAAAGGGAAAGGCTAGGTCATGGGTCAATTTAGGAATTCACAGAGGAGGATGGGGCACCTGGGTGGGTTAAGCATCCGCCTCTTGATTTCAGCTCAGGTCACGATCTCAGGGTTGTGAGATCAAGCCCCATGTTGGGCTCCTTGCTGAATGTGGAGCCTGCTTGAGATTCTCTCTTTTCCCCTGCCCCTACCCACCCCCACTCATATTCCTGTGCATGCACTCTTTCTCTAACTTAAAAAAAAAGAAATTGAGAGAGGAGGATAGAAGGAGAGAATTGTACCCCCAAGAGTTTTGAACATTGTGCAGAGTATAAAACAGGATACCAGTTGGGGGATGGGGGTCTGAGAAGGACCCCTCAAGCTGGAGTGGTCAGAGAAGCCTTCTCAGGAGGTGATGGTGAATCTGGGACAGGAATTAAGAGGAAGCAGCCATTGGAACAGCATTCCAGGGGCAGGGAGTAGCAAGTACAAAGGGCTCAAAGAGGAAATGAGCTTGGTGTACCCAGGGAAAGGGAAGGGGCCAGTGTGGCTGGATCCAAGTGAGCACGTGGAGAGTGTAGTACACAATGAGTCTGGTCAGTGATCTCCAGCCACTTTCCATGAAGACTCAATGGTCCTAGGGTAGCACCAAGGGTCTGCATCCTTTGGTGCCCTAGAAAATATCCTTGTGTAGACCTGATAGCAAGGAGAGCCATCTTATGCAGAGGAGGGGGTGGTAGACAGGGGACAAGGTGGCTCAGGGCAGGGCTCCAAGCCAGATGGGTCTGATCAAATCCCGATTCTGTCGCTTCCCAGCTCTGCGACCTCAGACAGACAACTTGAACTCCAGAGCCCTGCTCTGTAATAGTATGTATTAGTTTTCTATCGTTGCTGTAACAAATGATGACAAACCCAGTGGCTTAAGTGAAACAAATTTATTATTTATGGTTCCATAGGCCAGAAGTTGGGCTCAAGGCTCACTAGGCTAGGGGATCCCTGGGTGGCGCAGTGGTTTGGCGCCTGCCTTTGGCCCAGGGCGCGATCCTGGAGACCCGGGATCGAATCCCACGTCGGGCTCCCGGTGCATGGAGCCTGCTTCTCCCTCTGCCTATGTCTCTGCCTTGTCTCTGCCTCTCTCTCTCTCTGTGTGACTATCATAAATAAATTTAAAAAAAAAAAAAAAGGCTCACTGGGCTAAATTCACAGTGTCAACAGGGCTGTGATCCTTCTGGAGGCTCTAGGGGAAAAATTTTCTCACTATTCCAGCTTCTAGAGGCTTCCACATTCCTTGACTCATGGCCCCTCCCTCCACCTTCAGAGCCAGCAACCTTGAGCCTCTCTGTGCCTTTCTTACAGAGTCCCCTCTCCCCCTAGCCCTCCTCTTCTGCTGTCCTCCGTGTGTGTGGGTGTGGGGGGGTTACTGCAGTAAGGAACACCTGACAGATTTTACCATTTTCACCATCACTTAAGAGTGCCACTTGGTGTTACTAAGTACATTCACACCGCTGTGTAACCATCATCAGAATCTATCTTCAAACCTTCCTCATAGTCCCAAACTGAAACTGTATCCCTCTTTCACTTTTAAGAACCCTTGTGGATTATACTGGATCCATTAGGATAATTGAAGATCTCCCTAGTTGAAGGTTGGCTGATTAGCACTGTGGATTCCGTTTTGCCTTGTGACTTTGGGTTAGGCCATTTTTGGGCACATCATTATTTGCCTCCCATCTACTCCCTGGGATGGCCAGAGAGGTGAATGAGACAGACAGGGTGTGCCAGGGACCTGACTAGCACCTGCGCGCTCGGGAGGCCAAACCCAGTTAGCACTGGCACTCTTAGCAGCAGAAGCATATTTTCAGCACATGGAGAGCCAGTCTTGTGGTCATCTGCCCCCCTCCATTCTCTGTCTTGTCCCATTGGACATAGTGGGTCCTGGATGTCATCCCTTGGGTTCTGCATTACAGGCCAGCCAGGGAGCAGCTACTTCAGGAATTGTATAGAGAAACACACGTCCTTTGTGAGGCTAAGAGGGGATGGTGGAGAGGTTGCTGCCAGTCTGAAAAGAACCCACACAAGCCCCCAGCCTCTGTCCTGAGATCCCAAGAATCCTGTGGGGACTTGGATTCAGGGACTCTCTCTCCTTTGGGCCCCCAGAAGCCCCCAGGATTGCTCGCTGGGAGTCCTATCATATTGCACTTCAGCAGGCACTGGATTTCCGGCCTTCCTAAGCCAGGAGGTCCTGCATCCAGGGACCTTAACCCTTCTCCCCATCTGCAGAGTCTATTCTGCTTAGCTACCCCAGCCTCGCTGCCTAGAGGGCTGCTCTTCTGCCTGGCAGTCCTGAGCGTGTCCTTCTCTTGCTCTTAAACCTGCGCTGGCCAGAGCCCTGGTGCCATTTCCCCTGCACTTGAGCCATTTGCAAACCTAAAGTCACTTTTTTTCCCCCTTTTTTTTTTTTTGCCATCTCCACAAACCTCCTGTACTATTAGCTTTGTTGAAACAAACATCTTTCTTTTTTTCCTCCCTTCCTCTCAATTTCTACCCTCCCTCCCTCCCCTTTCTTTCTTTTTCTTTTCTCTAGTAATTCTAGGATTGTTCTAAGTAGTACTATCAATGAAATCAAGGGTTTGATAGGCTGGTTACATGTTTTTCCATGAACGTTCATTTATATAACTGCTTAAAAACCATTTGCCCACATGGCATCTGGCTTCATCTCCCATTCCACCCGTGGTCCAGGCACCCTGCTTTTCGAAATGTTGGCTCTGCAGCATGGTCTGTGGGCCCTCCCTTCTCTGTCTGGCTCCAGTCACCACCTTAGGCCCCAGCCACTCACCTGCTACATAACCTTCCAGCTGTCAAGCCTTTGCACATGCTGTTCCCTGTGTCTGGAATGCCCCATCTCATGCCTTTGGTAACATCCTGGTCACCTGTATGCTCCCTGTCTGCTGCACACCCTCTGGCCACATGCTCCAGGCTGCATGCTCCTCCATAACTCTGGAACCTTCTTCTTTCCCAGCCTTCCCCTCTTATCCCTTCCACCCTCTTTTCCTGGGCTAAGCGGTGAGTCCCTCCAGGGCAGCAAATGTGTTTTGCTCTACTCTTTTCACCCCAGGATGTCCTTGATGGCATCATTATTTCATGTACCATGCTGCCAATTAAACCTCATTGATTGCAAGACTCCACCCTACTCAGTAATGTTAAAATCTGGAAACCTGTACATATCATAGAATGTTTCATTTATTTGCCGAAATGTGCTGCATTATTCACATCTCTGATCCTGAACTTGCCTGGCACAGACTAGGGGTTCAACAAATATTTGTTGAATGAATACGTGAATGAACCAACAGATACCTGAGTAGCATGCCCCAACTTCGCTGGTGCTCCGTGTCTGACATCTAAACCATTGTTTTCCTACAGGTAATAAAAAGGAAAGGAATTTATCTGCCAAGAGGAAGGACAATGCTGAGGTTTTCATTCCCAGCAGACCTGAACTGAACTTGAACCCCCAGCCCTCTATTGTGTTCCCAGACCAGGAGAAGGCATGCTCAAGTAAGAGTCCTGGCAGGGAGGACTGGGGCTGGGCCTGGATCCGGGTTCCTCTCAGTGGGATGCCGTGAGGGAGGAGTCCTTCCTGTGTTACCCTCTTTGTCAAGGTCTGAGCTCACATTTTACAAATGTATTGTTAGTCAAGGTCTCCAGAGTTAACGGAACCAATAGAATGTGTGTGCACATGTGTGTGTGTGTGCATTTGTGTGTGTGTGAGTCCAATCTACAAGATGGATCAGCAGGCTGGAGACCCAGAGGAGACAGTGTTCCAGTTCAAAGGCCATATATCCTGGAAGGGCTAAAGTTGCAAAGGAAGTCCAGAGGTAGTCTTCTGGAGAATTCTCTTACCTGAGAGAAGGTCAGTCTTTTTGTTCTATTCAGGCCTTCAGGTGAATTATACCATTACGGATGGTGATCTGCTAGATTCCCCCAACAAAACATTACTCTCATCCAAAAACACCTTTTGGAAACACCCAGAATAGCCCAAATATCTGGGCTCCCTGGGGCCCCATCAAATGGACACATGAAATTAACCATCACAGCTCCTTTCTCGCTCTGCAACCAAGATGTGGTTATAATGGAAAAGCTATTTTAGTGTTGGTTTTACTTTTTCATTATGGTTTTACTTTTATTATTTTTTTTAAGATTTTATTTATTTGTTCACAAGAGACACAGAGAGAGACAGAGGCAGAGACATAGGCAGAGGCAGAAGCAGGCTCCATGCAGGGAGCCTGACGTGGGACTCGATCTTGGGACTCCAGGATCATGCCCTGGGCCAAAGGCAGGCTCCAAACCGCTGAGCCACCCAGGGATCCCCCTGGTTTTACTTTTAAATTAATTTGTTTACTTTATGTGGATAATGATGCACGCAAATGGTACTAAATTCTAGAAGTAGGCGAGTTTATGGTGAATGCTGCCTGCTGCTCCTCTGATGAAATTGATTGAGGACTTACCGTAAGCCGGCCACCACTGTCAACAATTAGTCCTGTCACTTGCAAGGAAATTATAACCCTTATACATAGCCTTAGAGGTAGGTCCAGGGGTTGTCCCCATTTCGCAAATGAGGACCTGAGGCCCACAGTAGGGGATTCACACAGCTGGGAAGTGGCCGCTGTAGGCCCCAAGCCCCAGTGGAGTGTGACCATGCCATGTCCTGAGTGGCAGACCACATGCACTGGAGACTGTTGATGAGTCATTGCAGCTGAAGGCCAGATCCAGTGGCAGAGTCCCTCTGGGGAAGCCACTTGCTTCTGGTTTTTGCCACCCAAAACGGAGGACCTCAAAGAGTCCAAGGCAGGGGCACCTGGTGGCTCAGTGGTTGAGCGTCTGCCTTGGGCTCGGGTCATGGTCTCGGGGTCCTGGGATCGAGTCCTGCATCAGGCTCCCCACAGGGAGCCTGCTTGTCCCTCTGCCCATGTCTCTGCTTCTCTCTGTGTGTCTCTAATGAAAAAATAAATAAAATCTTTAAAAAAGAAAAGAAAATAGTACAAGACATCCTGCTATCCCAAGAATCTGGAAACCTGGGGAGTCCTGGGCAAAATCCAGCCCCAGACAGCCTTGTTAGCCAGTCTGTGTGAACCTGGGGCCCTGCTCTCTGGGGCTGTGGCATTCCATTCGTATCTGCTTGGAGAGCTGGAGGGACTGGGGGCCGAGCTCGAAGCTCCTATCCCCGCAACTCGGGGCAGGTGGAAGGAGAAAGAGAAATAACAGGAACAGCCATCGCTTACTGAGCACTTGCTCCAGCTGTATAAATACTGTCTCTGTTTGGATTCCTCCAGATGCCGACTCTGAGGTAAGGATTTGAGAACGAGTCATTTATTTGGAAGGTGCCCCCTGGTAGGGGACGGCAGAGGGGAAGAGCCCAACCTGGCTTTACCACCAAACAAGTTCACTGGGCAAGTGGAGTGCCTCCTGGCTGGGGGGTTCTGGGGGCAGTGCTGAACACAAGCCTCTGCATGTTACCTCTGCCCCCCATCCCAGGGCAAGGGGGCTAGGCTCTTATACACCCCTCCCTGGTGCCAGCGGAGCCCAGAGCCAGAGCTGCAGGCTGAGGTTTGGCTGAGGGGCTGTGGGCAGGGCAGCACACAGGCCATTATCTGATTAATTCTTGTGCACCCCAAGCTCCAAGTGAAAGAAATGACACACAAACACAAGACAAGGCAGTTTAAGTAGCAAGTGATTTTATTTTATTTTGTTTTTAATGATTATTTATTTACTTGAGAGAGAGTGCTTTCAAGAACACAAATGAGGGTGCAGGAGCAGAGGGAGAAGGAGAAGCAGGCTCCACACTGAGTGAGGAGCCCAATGCAGGGCTCAACCTGGGATTATGACCTGAGCAGAAGGCAGATACTTAATTGACTGAGCCACCCAGGTGCCCCTAGGTAGGGGCAGGATTTTAAAAAGTGTCTTTAAGGGAAAGAGTCCAAATTAACCCATGTAACTATAAAGTCCAAAGGTGGTGGGATCTCAGGCAGAGATGATCCAATGATTAAAATCAGCAGTCTTCCTCTCTCCATCTCCCATTGAACATTTCTTCTGCCCCTTGTTCTTAGGCAGGATCTAGGGGTGATAGGATGGCCACCAGCAGCCCTGGGCTTTCAGCCCCCCAGCCCAGCAACCCTGGCAGGAAACAAGCCTGACCATCTGCTATAAATCCTGCCTGTCCACCTACTAGCTCTGTGACCTCAGGCAGGTTCCTTAACCTCTCTGGGCCTCATCCTTCCATCTGCCCAGCAGGGATAAGAATGATACCCTCATCTGAGGGTTGCTATGAAGATAAAAGGGCAGGAGAGGGATCACCTGGCTCAGAGCAAGTGTTCGGCAGGGTCAGCTGGCGCCTTTCCCATGAATGCCTTGGAGTTGCTGTCATTCCCAGCTTAAGTCAGGGGTGCTTCTGAGAAGGAGACATGGGTGCTGTCACCAGAGGCAGAAGGAGAGGGTGCCAGGCAGCAAACTCCAGGAGATCCTTGTGGATACCACTGCCCTCTTCTCCCATTTCACAGATGAGGAAACCAAGATTGAGAACCTGGAGGTTACTTGCCTAGAGTACCAGGTGGGACAGCAAAGCCAGGATTCACACCCAGGCTCCAAGCCCCATGCTCTAGATTGCCACAACAAGCTGCTCCCCCCAGAGCTGGCTGGCCACAGAGGCAGCTTTGGAGGCACCTGGGGGTTCTGGCCCTGACAAGCCTGGTTGTGATGTGGGCAGTGTGACGACGCGGGTTTTCAGTCCAGTACACAGAGGCCTGGGTTGGGAAGTTGGGGAATTGGGGCAGCTTTTGGGGCCAGCAGCAAGCATCCTGGGGATATGGCCTGACCCATGCACAGGGTGAGCAGAGGAGGCTGGGCCCATGGGGTCCAGGCCTGGGACTATAGCTCAGGGCATGCTCCAGCCCTGCCCAGTCCAGTCCAGTCAGTGCTGGATGGGATTCCAGGCAAAGGCAACGGTGATTTGCTGTCTTCTTTGACCTCACCAGAAACCTGTGTGTGGAGCACCTACTGTGTGCCAGCCCTGGTCCAGGCCCTGGTGATCCAGTGAGCAACACACTGTTCTTGCTGTCTTGGTGTTTACATTTTAGCAGGCAGGGATTGATAACAAACACAAAATGGGGTGGTGACAGCCACCATCAAGACAGCAACTGGGTGATGGCTAGGCAGCATGGCTAGAGGAGGCCTCTGAGGTGTGGGGGGACATGAGCTGAGACCAGGTGAGGTCAGGGATTAGCCTTTTGCAGAGGGGAAAGCCTGTGCAAAGGCCCTGAGGTAGGAATGAGATGCTCAGTTGGCTCAAGAATCAGAAAAAAGGGTGGGGGCCAGAGCATAGTGAGTGAGGGGTGGGAGGCTGAGATGGGGTCACAGAGGTGAGCAGGGGCCAGGAGAGGGACTTGGTGCAGCAAGCACTGCCATGACCTGCTTTACATTTGAACAAGGTAACTCTGGCTGCCACAAGGAGTGTGGCCTGTCGGGAGCCATGGTAGTTGTGGGGTGACCAGGGAAGAGGCCATTGCAGGATGGAGAAGATAGTGACTTAGTCTCTGAGTCTTACCAGTGGCTGGATTCCCAACAGCAGTTGGGCTTGGTGGGGATTCCATTGTAAGCATGAGACTAGTTGTGGCTCTTATCCTGAACAACTAGGGATAAGACACTGGGCAGTGGGGAGCCCACCATGATAGGGCAGGAAAGCTGGGACTCAGCAGTGACGGGGGATCCCTGGCTTGTTTCTTGTTTAAGATAGGTTCTGAATCTGTGCCTCTAGCAAAGGAGACCCAAGCTAGCGAGGTCCCTGGAGCTGGAATCTGTGTCGGGATAGGCAGTGTTCAGTGCTAAGCCCACTACAGGAAGGGGGAGGTCTGATCTGTGTCTTGTCTCAGGAGGGAGTGACCTGAAATTGCAGTGAGATAGAGCCTGCAGGTGGCCAAGTTGTCTGCATCCCACCAACACGAAAGGCCAAAATCCAGTGGGTAGAGCTAGGACCAAACTGATTCCTGGGGCTTTTTGGCAAAAGTCAGAGCCTAGAAAGTCACTTACATGGGGCCCGAGAAAGGTAGACATAGGAAGGGAATCACTGTGGATATGATATGTTGACAAGGGCATGTCAAGGTCACAGCAGCTGATAGGGTTAGAGATGTCATGTTTGTACATAGATAAATTGAGATATAGTGTATAGGGGTGAAGAGTAAGATGTAACACGTACAATGTCAGGAAAACTTGGTGAATTTCGAGTCTACTTGCTTTGGCCAGATGAAGAGCCAGGAAGCTGGAAGCAGAGAGAGAGAAGGGGCCAGGGGACAAGGTGAAGATCTGGCCGGCTCTCAGAGCCCCACCAGCAAGTGGAGAATGCAGGTGGCAATCCCAGGTGATATTTCCTGGACACCCAAACCAGCTCCACTGACCACCATTTCAGTCGACAAGACTGTGGTCTATACCACTAGTATTCACTCTTTGTGAAAAATTAATAAGGGTTTTCAGAAAGTTCCTCCAAAATGAGCTATTGAAAAAAATGA